CACCCCCTCCTCCTTCACCGTTACTCCCCCAACCCCCACCCCGACAAAAAATTAACAGGAAAAAGATAACTGTGTTGTATAATATTTTTTTCCACACAGACAACAAATATGGGCTCACAGTATCAACTCTTTATAGCTCAATCATTCAAACCTACAAGCGATAGTGGTACTGAGGTTAACAAGATACAATAAACGTGTACATGTTTGTTTGATTTCCAGGGTGCCAAGAAGCTGTGCCCACAATGTAACATGATCACTGCCCCTGGGGATCTGCGTCGCATCTTTCTCTAATCATCTGTGATAGGCTGATGGGATGTCCTGATGACCTTGATTTGATAGGTGGTGACCTTTCATCATATTCCTTCGTAACTTATGTGGTGATGTAATATCGCTGTCTAATGAAGTCCCTATCATAACGTGGTGACCAGTGGTCACAAGCAGTATTAGTTGGATGGTGAACTTTACTGGACGTATTTCAAACCTTTTTTTTTAATTTATAGACTTTTTGAGAAAGTGTATATATAAAATATATATGAGTGTGTCACGAGGAAAAAAATGTCTTCTTATCTATGTTGTAATTAAATGACAAACAAATCCTCAGTCTTTTCAATATTTTGATCACCTGGCACAAAATGCCTGTGAGCTTATGGTATGGTGCAGCATCTGTCTCGTCAGTATCCGTCCGTCAACTTTTCTTTAAACGGCATTCTTAAGAACCGAAATAACTAGAGTAATGGACAACAACCTCGCTCATCTTTTCCTAATGTATTGTGTTCAGGTCAAAGGTTCACTTTTAGAGCAAAACACATTATGTTCGTAGGTAATAAGCCTAGGAGATCTTGTCACATTCCAGAAGGCACAGAGTTAGGATACTTTGTCAGTAGCTACTAGTGATGCTTTAAAATGTCTGAAGTGAATTACCTGCATAGTGTAAAAAGTTTTGTTTATAGCTATGCCTTTAAGCTAGCTATTCATGAGGTCAAATGTTAAAAGTGGGTGCTGACAGGTCAAATGTCAGTCGAGATTATTATGGGCAAAATGCTTTTGGAAGATATTTTTTCCAAATCCCAGAAGATATTTCGTCAGTAGCTACCTGGGATAAAATACTAAACCGTGTTTATCTGACAATATGCCCATGCTTGGTAATAAACTCATCAATATATATTGCAGTTAGGAAGAAATGCCAACAAATCTTTTTCATTGTCCTGTTATAAGCCCATCCCCCTACTTATGTGTTGGCCCCCTGAAGACACATTTGAACTCTTCCATTCAAAGGTTATGAAATATCAGGGGTGAATGAGTTAATTTATCACATAACCAAATCATTATGACATGTAGGAATCCCAAAACCAATCATGAGAGGAATAGATTGCTGAGCCTGTTTGTTAAGCCTGCTCGTAGCAACTAGGCAGAGAATACCTTTTTTGCTGTTTTAGTTTGTTATCACAAAGACCAAACCAAGTAACAACTATTTGAAAAAGTTGATAGTTTTTAAACAGATTCTTTGATCAGAAGATTGTTTGGCTTAAATGTTTTCAAACTTTTTATTATATATTTGTTGTTTCTGTGTTGATATGAATGATACAATTTTTGCATAATCATTCCTGTAAGTTATTGGAAAATATATTTATGTTTAAAATTTGAATGTTTGAAAACAGAAAATTAAAAAAAAAAAAAACTGACAAGAAAACCATAGGGGTTGAAGGCATCGCAAAGCCTATGCTTTACCAATGTCGCAATAAAGGAATTATTCAAGACTAGCATCAAACTGATTGTCCAATTTAAGGGTCGTGAAGCATATAAAGATCTTGACAGGGAGGGTAACTCTGAGACAGAAAAGCTTGTTTTGGCTGCTTCATGTTCTATATAGAAGGGAGAGAACCATAATTAAAAACTTTCAGTGGAACTCTTCTGTGTGTTTATAACCAATACAGTGGTACTCTTTACCTTAATGCCAAATGATTTCATCATGTGATATTTGTCTGATGTGTTCTGTCTGTCGGATATCTTGCTGTAGATTTTAATGATTTTAATCTTACCAATGGCCTTGGTATACATACAGAAAGTGTTGATTTCAAATAAACAACAGAAGGTATAAACTGTTCATAAAGTGCATAACAAAAACATTTTTCAATTTTAATTGAGATTTTGATGAACAATCAATCTTGATTCCTAACTGAGAAATTTTCATGATGATGTTACTTGTGAAATGTTCATTCATGCATGTGTGTCAGTTTTACTCTATTATATGAATATCCAGAATTGATTGGGAAAGCAATTGTTTGCTTAAATGAAGTTTGAAAAGAAAATGTACAATAAATGTACATGTGTCTGAAAATACGTTGAGAATGGATGACTGATCCAGGGTATGTATGCTGGTCATTATGGCTACTGTGTTAAATATGGTTACCCCAGTAAGAAGATGTCTGCTCTAATATGTTTGGCTGTCCTGGTTAGTTTGCTATTAGGATAAATAAAATTATCCCGGTATTAATGAGTACCTGGTAATTCTGGCTACTGTGTTAAATATGGCTACCTAGTAAAAATGTGTCTGCTCTAGTATGTTTGACTAGCATGTGCTATAATGATAAATAAAATAATCAAGGTATTTATGAGCACCTGGTAATTCTGGCTGCCATCCTAAGAATGGCTTTCCTCGGTAAAACGACCAATATAAGTATGGTTCTTTGTCCTTGAGAGTAAGAGTCTTTGTTGTACCCCCAGGTTTGACCTTGAGAGTAGGAGTCTCTGTTGTAACCCCAGGTTTGACCTTGAGAGTAAGAGTCTCTGTTGTAACCCCAGGTTTGACCTTGAGAGTAAGAGTCTTTGTTGTAACCCCAGGTTTGACCTTGAGAGTAACAGTCTCTGTTACCCCAGGTTTGACCTTGAGAGTAAGAGTCTCTGTTGTAACCCCAGGTTTGACCTTGAGAGTAAGAGTCTTTGTTGTAACCCCAGGTTTGTTCTGTATGTTTGTTATTGATTAAGATGTTATCACTTGTAGGAACTTGAAGAGATGTCAAAAAGAATATTATAGAAGGTTGTGAATTTGTACTCAGAATTAAAAAAAATATGTCATTATTGCAATTTTGTTGTTTTTTATACACTTCCTCTAGATTAAAGGCTTAACTGTAGCGATTTGTAATTATTTGTCATACAATTCAAAATCTGCAGCACTGTCATCAGCGAGTATGATAAGCTAAATACTGAGATATGGCAGTGAAGCAATACTGTCACTATGTACTTTGGGCTGGGACGCCCAGGTCATCATGTCCTTGGCTATTTTTAGCCCTCCATCATAAGATGGTGGGCTGTTTTTAAATGGCCCTATCTCCATGGTCTGTCATCCTTAAATAATTCTTGGTATCGTTATTTCTCGGGAAGCAGTGGAGAGACCTTTTTTTTTAATTTCCTATGTAAGTTACCCTTGGTCCCTACTTGTGCATATTGACAACTTAGACTAATGGGATAAACAAAATAACTGACAGGAAGACAGCCATCTTGGAATTTGACAGTAAATATTTTTTTCTTTATTTCTCGGAAAGCAAAGGAGGGATTTTTCTCAAATTTGACATGTGCATTCCCCTTGTCTTTAGTTGAACATGTGAAGTATTGAGACTGATTGGAAAAGCAAAATGATGGATAGGAGGCCATCTTGGAATTTGACCGTTTAAGTTTGTTATCACTATTTCACAGAAAGTACTGGAGGCTTTGTGTATGTTTGCTTTTGGGCTGATTGCAAAAAACAACATGGCAGACAATAGCCATCTTGGATTTAAACCATTAAGATTTGTATATCGCAAAGCACAAGGTTCAAATATGTATAAACAAGAACTAATTGTAATGGGGGACCGTTACAGAAGTACCCCAAACTGTCCCCATAGTCGCAAAGATGCATCAGAAAAGGATCACAATGGCATAAAACACCTTCATACTAAATTTGAGTGAAATCAAACAATATATGAATTTTGACCTATCTGAAGCCTCCATGTTGTTGGTATGGCAACGAAACCTATGCAGTTGAATTTGCAGTCCCCTAATACCCCTATATACCCATAATTTTGACCAGTAAAGCCTCCGTGTTGTTGCTATATAGTTACTATGGCAACGAAAATTTTGCGGTTTAATTTGCAGTCCCCTAATACCCCTATAAACCAATTTTCATAAAAATCAAACAATATCTAAATTTCGACCAATCAGAAGCCTCCGTGTGGTTGCTATGTCAACCAAACCTATGCGGTTGAATTCGCAGTCTCCTAATACCCTTATATACCAAATTTTATCGAACAATATCTACTCCATAGTCGCAAGGATGCAACACAAAATGATCGCAATGCCTTTATACACCTACATACTTTTGAATGAAATCTAACAATTTTTTAATTGCGACCAATTAGAAGCCTCTGTGTGGTTGCTATGGCAACGAAGGAATGCGATTGAATTTGCAGTCTTTTAATGCCCCTATATATCGATTGTCACCAAAATCGAACACTATCTAAATTTCGACCAATCAGAAGCCTCCGTGTGGTTTGAATTCGCAATCCCCTCATATTACCGGTAAACCAATTTTCACAAAAATCGAACAAAATCGAAATTTCGACCAATCAGAAGCCAGTTTATGGCGACCATTTTTGTCGCAGTTGAGTTTGCAATGCCATATTACACCTACATGTACATATTAAATTTGAACGAAATCGAACAATAACGGAGTTTCGACCAATCAGTAACCAGTATATGGCAGCCATTTTGTCTAATTAGAAAACGAATGCCATGGTTGAGTTCGCAGTACCATCATACACCTACATGCCAAATTTGGAATGCATTGTAAAATAGGATAGATGGCATTGGCTATCTTTAGAGAACATCTCAGAAATTTTAAATTCCAAAAATTCTAGGCGGCCATTACCTATACCGATACTTTCCTCAAAATTGTATTTTGATGTGCCAAATATTACAAAAGTTATTGCTCAAAATGTTTTAGCCAATCAGAGGCTGTGGCGGCAATCGTGGATGGTAATCGGAAAAGCGGAAAGCGGAAGAAGAAGGGAGATAATAAGAAGAAGAATCGGAGTAAAAACAATAATTAGGTACGTAGGTCCCCAATGGTGTCTACTTGTGCACTTCAATTTTTGAGACTGGTCGGGAAAATAACATGGCGGCCATCTTGGATTTTAATTGTTAAGAATTGTTGTTATCACTGTAACTCAGAGCGCACTATAGGGATCTTTCTCAAATTTGATATGTAGGTCCATCATAGTTGTGCACATTACTTTTTGAGATTGATTGTTAAAACAAAATGGCCGACAGGTAGCCATCCTCGATTTTGACATTTCAGTTTTGTCATCAATATTTCTCAAAAAGAATGGAAGGGATCTTTTTGAAATTTGATATGTTCGGTCCCCCTTGATTACAATACCCCAGGCTCTAATGAGAAGTCATTTCTCATTGACAGCACTTCTAGTTATAGTAAGAATGACAACTTTTAGCATTGTACATGCAGTTATCCAATGTTATACAACAAGGAATACTTACAGTAACATTTGCTATAGTGACAAATAATAAATGACATTACAAGGTTTAAGTACAAGGTTCTCATTCGGGATCGATAGTACCTGTAAGGAAAATGAAGAGCATATTTGTAGATCTGATTAAGATTCTTTGATGGAAGTGGTTTCATGCACAGGGACCTGAGAATTTGTTACAGCTATATTTGGACCTAAACTAAGGTGTTCAGAGTAATTTTTACATGTTTTAGGGGTTCAGTTCGACTGATCATATATACGAGAGGTTGAGATCAGCGCGTGCCGAGACCCGTGGTGTGATTGGCAGGAAGCGCAGCCATTTTTTCGCTAAACCAACCAACACTGCATGTTTCGGCACGCGCTGACCTCAACCTCATTAATATTCAATAAAGTGGCACGATGACTGCGAAAATCTTTGAAAATCTGAAAGGCGTGTTAACGGAGATCCTTTCCGCGGAAGGAGAATGCATTTTACGTGCATATAGGCGGTTTATAAAATAAAAATAAAAATACTAATTCGAGGTTCTTACAAACCGCTTTATCACAACCTAGTTCGTAGGTCGTCTCAAATTATTATCCGTGGTTAAAGGGCCTTTGAAACCAGCCAATATCTTTCTCAACTCCCTGGGGAGCATACAGCCGGAGCTGCCATTTCGGCGCCAACAGTTAGCATTCAACAATTCTAGCGCTGCCCAACCATGAGTAGACTTGAACAAGCGGAGTAAAGTATCTTGCTCAAAGATACAACACAGTGTCATGCCGTGACTGGAACCCGCAACCCTTCCGTCACGAGCCCGGCGTCCTACCAATATACTACCGTGCCTCCTAACGGATCATTTTCCCGTAGATCAACTAGAAATATTGTTTTCGATGCAAAAACGTTTGGTGGGGTCGACTTTTCGACATGGAGAGCTTGATCCGTCCTACTCGTATATATGATCAATGGGGTGTCATTTAAATAAAATCTATCTAAACCCCTAAAACATGTAAAATTACACCTTAGTTTAGGTCTTAATATGGCTGTTAACAATGTCCAGGTCCCTGTGCTTGGACATCCAAGAACTACGCTTCGATAGTATTCGCCGTTATCTTGGATTTTCTCAGGAAAGAATCGAATGGCTATCTATATACTAGACCCTAGTATTTGATTGGCTCCAGACATCTAACATTTACCAGTGACCGTTGACTGCGAAGAGTTTCAACACGTTTCTCATCGATGGTAGTCATTGCGTTTTACAAATACGATACCATGCCATTCATATTTATCTTTTATCAACGCATTTATTGTTATCATAGTTATGCAGGATTCCATAACTTTGTCAAGTCAACAGTATCCGATCAGCAAGGTGGCGCGTACAGGAAGTTCGACGATCGGGAACCGTCGGCGGGGCAAGCGGAAAGTGCAGACGGTTCCCGATCGGTAGTTCGATTTTGTCACAAAAACGTCGGTGCACAAAGGTGCAGAGGAAATATGATATTATTGCACATGCGGGACCCAAAGATTTGAAGATGGACACAGCTGTACACTAATAACAAGAGTGAAAAAATAAATTCTTACAATGTATATTCAATTTTATATCACTTTTAAAATAGTATACAAATTCTCATTATATTGACCAATATAATGCGTGTCTCAGTTTCAAATTTCAATACATACACAAAAGTCAAACAAAGCACATGACACAAAATGAGTGGTTTAGGAAAGTCCACGTCAATGTTTTAACATTTATGTCGCCGTTAGCAATTTGAACAAAATTTAACACGGTCATCTGATGACGAAGAAGTGAATAATTTCACAATCAAGTAAAATAAACTAATATCTCCATAAATAGCGCCTTCCTGGAGTCCAGCGTACTGTCTCGGTCATAGCACTTCGTTACAAGCATTTGTTTTTATTTACAAACCAATTTTTATTATATAACTATTCTGTTTATCAGTTATCGCAATCTAATTAAAATTAGATCTTCGCAATGCTATTGTCGGTATCACCACCGACCACGGTATAGAATAATAGTCTGAACCATTCAGATACATTATCAATGTCAACGAACTTCTTTGTAGTATTTATAAACATCAGAACCTCGACTTCACTCGTTATACTTGTTTGTAAGTGTAGTAACGGATCGTCCACACTGCGACTCAACGGTCAGAGCATCAAACGGGATTGTCCTAGAGAACGCTATAAATATATAAATTTGTCTCAGACCCAATATGTCTTGCTGACAAGCACAGGCGCCTCAAACTTCACCTTTCTGCCCGGTGTGGACAGTCGATTGATGTCCAGGACATTTCCGCTGGCGCCGAGTTCGACCAGGTTGTGATTGGCGCTGGGTTCGACCAGGTTGTGATTGACGCTGGGTTCGACCAGGTTGTGATTGTAATCCTCCACTAAATGTGGCGTTATTTCCTGCTGTTGTTGATAATGCTCCGGTATACCTTTATTTTTGTGCCAAGGGAAGTTGTCCCACGCGAATGAGTTCTCGTGCTGCGGGGTGTTCATGGACGTTGCTCCGCTTGCTCCGCTTGCTCCGCTTGCTCCGCGGGAGCTCAAAGAACTATAATCTAGTTCAGCCGTGACGCTCCAGCTCCGGAACAGCTCCGTGATGCTGTGACGAAAGTTCACATCACCTTCCGATGCATTCTGAGGATGGATTTGTTCCGTGACGTAGCTCTCGCCAATGTTATTATCGTAGACACAGGCGCTGTTGACGATGCCTTTGTTGATGGACGTCGGCTCTGTAGAACTTGGTCTGATGGAGGACAGTTCGTTCACAAGCTTAGACAGGTCGCCAGGACTCATTGTTCCTTGACAACCCTGCTCCACAACTCCAGGAACGTTGGAATGTGGTATGGACATTGACATAGAAGGGTTTCCGGACGTGTTGCTACTGCCAACATTGGGAAGCAATGACGTGTTGTCGGTGTAGTGCGACTCGGCCGAACCCATGCTACTTGCCATGCTGTAGTTGTAAGGTTGAGACAATAATCTCGGTGGGCATTCCATCAACTCGACGTTCCTATTGCCGGCCATTTTCTGGTGGTAGTACAATATACTGCTCGGTAGGCTGGGGACCCCACTCACCTCGCTCTCTCCCTGACTTCCACGCGCTGTCGTATACGCTGCTGATTGATTATTTACGCTTTGCCTCGAAATGTGGTAGCTAGTGTCGTGGTATGACGTCACGAATGATGTGTCGTCATCCTCCCCTGTGTCGAGACTAGAGGTCGTAAGACTTGCGCCGGTGGACGATATTGGTGTCGAAGGATATGACGTCATTTGGGAATTAGTGAGATTAGTGTTCGTAAGCGCCTCAGATAGCACAGCACTGGATAAAACGGCACTTTTTCTTTTATGGCGACTCATACTGTTTGCCGAGTATTCACCGTCTGTAGCAAGCGTGTTATTGTGGACGTGGAATGCGTCCTTGTCGAAAGTATGACATGTACTGTATGTGTCCTCGCTGTTTGTGGTATTGACCGACATAAGTCGGAGGCGTTTCTCCGGGGATCCCGCCTCAGATTCCTCGTAAGACGGCGGCGGCGCCTGTGGTGTCACCCACGTCAGGTGGTAAGGTGAAAAGGGCGCCTGTGCGCCGACGTCGTAACTTTTGGAAACGTCCATATAAACGTCATCTGACATAAGGGACGAGTCCATCTCGTCAATAGGGGAGAGCGGGTTGAGATGCCCACGCATATTGTTTACGCTGTCCGGACACAGCTTCCAGTTATCGTCTTCCCAATAGAACGTGAACTTGGGCTGACTTCCGTGGTGGTACTGAGGTGCCATCGGCATGACGAACGCCTGGTCGCCGCGTAGGCTGGACCTCAGGGGCGTAGTCGATCTAGTTGAACAGCGCACATAATCGATTCCGGTCGTCGAGCTGCCGACGAGACTTCGGGAAAACCGGCCAAGTGACGTGTTGGCGGCGTCCGGTGGTCCTTGTTGTTGCTTTTTCCGCATGTAATGGCAGTAAAGAAATACAATAACGCTGACTATGAATAAGCCGACGAGAACGATTGGAACGACGATTCCCCAACTGGAGTCGCCAGAGTCGTCGTCCGGCGGGTTGGTCGTCTCTGGGCGCGGGATGACGTTACGTGAGGCCATAATTACGTCACTGTAATATAAGAAGTATTGATGGATGACAAACCATGGTAACATTTTACTCCCAAAGAAGGTATTGCAGATATATTGAACTGAAACGGAGATATATCTAATTATATCTAATTCAAATATGTATATTTTTAAATTAAGTAAACATTTCTCATTATTGTAATAGACATATCTCATATCTCCTAAATTAATAACGATATATCCATAAGTTTATAACATATCTCTTATATTAATTGAAACGTTTTAAGTATTAAATGACAAGTTCCCTTACCATAAAAACTATTGTTTGGGATTTCTCAGTAAGAATAAAGGGTAAAAATAAATGCCAATGTTTTAAAATTGACTTATGGAACGTCTCTTTGTCGCAATTACACGAAACTAAAGTGTTTTTAAATTGACATGTTACTTACTATCTACTAGTAAGTTTTGTGAGTACAAAAAAAAACAATACTGCAAACCCTAAATATATACCAACACTTTAATTCCTCGAAAGTTTGGCTTCCCATAACTATGGAAGACAACCTGCATAATAAGTACACAAAAGGGACGGGGTTAGCCCGGGTTTCCTCTGGCCCCGACACCAACCTTAGACAGTTTTACAGATACACCAAACACCAGGTGAAACTCGGGCTAGGACGGTGCTAGATTTAAATTATGTAAAAAGAAAGTTTGTTTGTCTGGAGTTAAACGTCCTTGCGCCAGGGTCATATGAGAACGGTTGCCTAGGGAGACACAACAGCCAGGGTCATATGAGGACGGGTACCTAGGTAGACACAACAGCCAGGGTCATATGAGGGCGGTTGCCTAGGGAGACACAACAGCCAGCGTCATATGAGGACGGTTGCCTAGGGAGACACAACAGCCAGGGTCATATGAGGACTGTTTCCTAGGGAGACACCGCCTGAAACAGTGTTGCATGGGGGCAGCAGGTCCAGTTTGGTCTCTTCCATGTCCCCTTCGTAGAAGACACGGAAGGAATCCCCCGATTCTGCTGGGGGTCCACATAAGTCGCCTTTCACAACACACATGCAGTGGGATACAGCAGTTCTATTCTAGATTTCTTCAATGTCCCCTATATAGAAGACAAACAAGAACCCCCCC